GAAGTGTTGAAGAGCCTGGTTAGATTTAATCCAATTTCTTTTCTTTCAATTTATTAAAATGTAGTGCTTGCTTCCGTTTCATTTTTATAAATTGTACCCATGCGCCCCTCTTTACCTATTTAACTATTATGTCTATATGTTGGACGTGGAACATGAATGCTCCTTATTATGGCTGGCAATTGCTATGCTTTTCCTGAAAAACAAAAAAAATGTAATGGCAATATAAAAACAAGTATATCATGAACAACATACAATAAAAAAAGGCCTACTGACTACTGTCAGGTGCTAAAATCCACACTGATTCTTCCACAGGGGTCTCAGGATCCACGCTGTCCTGGTCCAAAGTGGGTGGTGTCAGCTCAGGCAGTGTGCAGGCTATCTCATCCCTGTGAGGGGAGTAGGGGGGTCAGAGCAGGGCCAATCAGCCTCCACAGCCATTGTGAATGGGGCAGGTACAGGTCTCACTTCTCCTGTTTGATGGACTTGATGCGCAACACCATCTTCTCCATCTCCGGGTCAGAATCGATTGAGTCTCTCCCGTGCTGCTTGTCCACTGGCGGCTTCAGCTGTGTCTCAGAAAACATGAGCGTCCTCAGTCACACGTCTCATGGCGGCCGGATCATGAGGGACATTTTGGTGGCTAACATAACCAACAAAAATGGGGACTGTCTGGCGCAAGGACCTATCTGGTCCTCTAAAACCCACACACAGTCCATGCTTTTGCTCTACCAGGAGCTGGAAGGGAGCAAACACATAGACTGTCTGTGGGTCCCCAAGGAACGGATTGGCAAACCCTCACCTAGTGGATTAGGTGGATCCCATTAAATGTCCCACAACAAGCCACATTTTAACAGAGACCTCCGGCTCAGGGACTCACAGTGTTTTGCCTCCTCAGCTTCAGCTGCTTCATGGCCAGGGCTTCAGCAAACTCCAGCTGCTTCAGGTCCTTCAGCTTCTCCTTGTAGAGCCTCATCTGCTCATTGAGGAGGATCTCCAGACACCTGAGTAGGTGGTGAGAGTGGAGAAGCGGTGACATGACGGGGGCGCAATGTGGCTTACGGGCTGGTCCAGGCCTGGAGGGTAAGCGAGGCTTCTCACATGGTGGTCTTGCTCACGTCTGTCATGCTCTCAAGGGGGTTTGAGGTGTCAGGACTGCGCAGGATGCAGGGGGCGAAGATGATGGCCAGCGAGGTCGTCGACATTCGGTTGTGGGCCTCCTCCTTGGCCACCCTGAGGAGGAGAAGACCATCAGCACTTTAAAATGGAGAAGTGTAGTCCAACATTACAAGTCTGTGTGATGGGGTCCAGCGCACTGTCAGCGATACGCAGGAAGTGAGTACGGGGCTTGTGGGAGTTTTACTTACACAAAAATGTTCTGAGGCCAGAACAAAAAAATGATTGGTTAAGAGAGATAACCAATCAGATTGTATAGGTGGGTCCAAGCAATTAGTAGAGGCAGGACCAACTAATCAGATGTCTTGTTGCTGGGACCCACCTCCTATAAAATCTGATTGGTTCTCTCTCTCTCTCTCTCTCTCTCTTTGTTATGCCCTCAGAACAATTTTGTGTAAGTAAAACTCCCATGAGCGAGCAAGGGCTGCCATCCCACCTGATCATGTGAAATATGAGCCTCTCTAGGGTGTTGAAGTTGGCTGGAGGGAGCCTGTCCAGCACTGTGTAAATGTCTTTCAGTCGTTCAGACATTTCTGGAAGCTCTGGGGGGGGGGTAATGGGAGAGATTGTTTCGTTAAATCCTTGGGTAAGGGTTAGGAAAACAGACCTCTCTGGCATGATTTAGAAGCAGCCAGGTCTTACCTACGGCGTGCAGGAAAGCGCTGTAGTGTGTGAACGTCATGAGGGGTTCGGGCAGCTCCCGGAGCCACTGTTTGATCAGGCCGGTGATGGTGTGGATGGGGTGCTCCTCCAGACTGACCGCCTGGGGGTCTGGAACGTGCACCCAAACGGCATCGTTACGGATACAGACATGAGCAAGTCCAGCTCCGAGAGGGCTTTCCCAGAAGGAGGACCAGTGCCGGCGGGCTCACCATTCTCCAGCTGCCGGTGCAGCTCCCTCATGCGGTTGGCGGCGCCGGACTTGCGGTAGATACCCTCCGTGTAGAGGCCGTTCAGCTCCACGTGCTCCAGCAGCATCGCCAGGATGATGGGCACCGTGTGGGTCGTGTTGGTCAGATAGCG